GGTCAATTCTTCTTTATTACCTATAATTGTTTGCTGTTTTCCATTATTCTTTCCTGAGCTTTTGAGAAAAGACTTTTCTGTATCACGGAAAGTTTTGTGGGCAGTTAGCAGGGTATGTGGATAATCTTATGAAGTTATTAAAAAAAGACATCAAAAGTCTTGTAAGCTCCAGGCTAATGTTATCTTATCAGATACTAACTATCCACTTCATTCATGTATTGTTCCTTGTATATCTTTCGGTAGAACGGGACGTCAATACCTTATCTAGCAAATATACTACGTGACGAACAGGTTGTAAGTGTTGACCAAAACAATAACTTGTATTCTTTAACGTGTTTCTACATGAAAAAGTTGTACCGATTTTGATCTTCCCAAAAAAGGCATTTCATTTAAATCAAAGTAGTTTATTTACTTAATTTTATGTATATATGTACACGATCAACGGTTTATTCTTCTTTTATGTCTTGTGAAAGAAGCTTGTTGAAATACCTTCTGCTGAGAATTCTATATTAAACAAAAAATATAATAATGAATAATGCTATTAGTAGTAATAATATTAACAATGATTATGGTAAATAGTTGTTTCCTATATTTCTGTTTACTGAATAAATGTTACATTCAATAGATACTACTGAAAAAGATTTTAAAAAATTGTGTAATTAAACTAAAATATATGGTAGTTGTGATTGTGGAACAAAAATACGATTTCTTTAAGGCATCAACATCTAATGGATCTTTTTTTAAAATTCATTATTCATCAAACTAATTTCAATATCCATCAGTTTACTCGTTTTGATTTTGTTTTAAAAATTTTGCTTAATTATATAATATTACTGTTTGTTTTAAGTAGACAATTTAACTTTTTAAATTCACTTAGTATTGTTTGTTTTGAATCTTCCTATTGATGTTTAGGACTACAACTGGTCAGTCTCTAATTGGAATATGTGCATACTGTGTGTATGACCTCAATATAGCCTTATTTCAAAAGGATTGTAGGCAAAGATGGATATGCACAGTATGCACATATACCAATTAGAGACTGACCAGTTGTAGTCCTAAACATCAATAGGAAGATTCAAAACAAACAATACTAAGTGAATTTAAACTTCACCCCATTGCACAAGCAAGTGGTTATCAGCACTCAGTAGGTGAATGGATAACGCGATCGCGTTTGAAGCGAAACTTACTTGGTTCGAGTCCCATAGTGAATATCAACTCTGAGATTCAGATACATCCATATGACGAGTTCCGAATAGGATGAGACGCGCGTCCTGGATTCTACTGCTAGCCGCTATTTATCTTTGCTTACGATTTAACTTCTTTTTTGATTCATTTCACATGGACATCAAGCAATTGGATAAATCTGTATTAGTGTGGAAATAACAATAAGAAAAATGTATTAGATTTATTGGAAGAATTATTCTCTCTATAATTTGATTTATATATTTTGTTTAGATTAAAAATGTTGATAAACATATTACTGGTTTAATTTCAAAAGTTTTTTGAACGTAATGTATCCAACATATTTACTCATTAATGATAACTGAAGTATGAAATCTCTGGGGGGGGGTAAGGTGATTTGTTTTATTTTTGTTTAGTACGAAAGTCATTTATAGTTTTAAAAGCTTAAAACTATTACATAAATTAAATTTGATGATGTGAGGAATATTTTAAAAATGGAAAAGAAATGAAGAATAATAGCAAAGTTAATAAGATACTTATTTTATAATTTAAGTAGTTTAGATGAATATCTTAATGGATTAGATAACAGTTTGCGTGCAGTATGCATGGAATGAGGAAATGTGAATAAGGATGATTGGTTTATTCACAATTGGTTAATAACTCTAATGATTTTTACTTGTTTTTTTCTCTTTTTTGTAAGGTCAATAAATGATTTATACCCATCAAATATATATTTAGGTCTAAATAGTTTCTCCAAAAACTGTTGATTATGACAGTATATATATTCATTATTTATATGACCTGGGTAATCATATAAAAGTCTTGAATTCAGAGAATGAAATATTTATATATTATTTAAAAATTAAATATTCTTAATTTAAAGTCTAATGTCAAGAAGAAAACGTAATTGAAAAGTCTCAGTAGTTTATATTTGACTACTAATCTTCAAAAGTAGAGTATTGCTGTTGGGGATGTTTGATTCCCAGAACTCACTTGGCAAATGACTTATATTAGTAATGTTATTTTGAAAATTTGAAATTCTTTGTTTTCGCGCCAAAAGTGCTCTTTTCACCATCATGTAGTATTTCCGTCTTGGGAAAATCTTAACACTATTAGTCCGTTGTATCTTTTAGTATGCTATCTTGTACCGCTTCCCAAGAATAATTTTTTGATGTATATATAAGTTTGATTTCGTCCTGTTACAATTGTTTGTGTTTCTAGCTGCTTACGGAATATATCTTCCCCACTTCCAACTTGGACTAGTTAGCGGGGCCGGAAACAACGGATTAGAATAGCCTGTCGTGTCACAGTGTCTTTGACCTTCGTTTACCGTTTACCGAGTAAGGTCAACTCGTAATAGTATCAAGAATATCAACTGCATACAGATGTAGAAGATTTGTTTGTTACTGTTGACGGTTGACTGCACTGTTAATGATTCTGATGACATAACATGAAGTTGTTCATTCAACTAAAATGTCTAATAATAGTGATAACTGTTTAAATGTAACCATGTTCACAAATTCTTACTGTCATTATTCTGAAATAAACGTTATACTTGTACAGTTTATTAACAATGGATTCTTTTACTAAACTGTTTTAAATTATAATGAACTTTATCTATACAAAATGCATAGAGTTCAAATAAAAAGTTTAATGTTCTGTGAAGCATGTGAAAATTATATCCCTAAATGAATGGGTATATGTGAACATATGAAGATTAGCAAATTAAATAATAAATACAAATGTTTATACTTTTTAAATTCACTTGGTATTGTTTACTTGAATCTTCCCATTAATGTTTAGCCCTGCAATTGATTAGCTTCTAATTGGCATATGTCTTGAATTTGCGTTAAGTCATAAGCATTATAAGCAAAGATGGATAATAGCTAGCAGTGGAATCCAGATTATGCGTTTCACCTTATTGATATATATCTAGGCATTGAGGTATATCTAGCTGATGAGTCCCAAATAGGACGAAATGTGCCTCTTGGATTCCACTGATAGTCACTGTCCATTTTTGTTTATACATTTTGTCTTCAAAGAACATGTGTTAATAAGTTCTTATTAATGACATTTCAGAAATAAAACGTATAAGGGTTTCAAAGAGAACTTCCTTAAACCTACAGTATTTTCTGATCATAGGCTGTTTTGTCATCATTTTAACTAAACAAAGTATGAAAAAGTTAGATTTATGATATTATTCAGCTTATCTTCATAAAAATACTTTTCTTTAAAAACTCTTTTCGAATAATTTTAAGGATTATTAGATTAATAGGATGAGTTCATATAGCATTTTGCCTACCTTTAAATACAGAATTGTATCATGGTAATTACAGCTTGTCTAGTTTCTAACACCTTACTTTGAAAGAAAGAGGTAATCATAACATCTCCATTTAATCTATGTTCACGTTTTAGCAATTTAAACCTGTATTATTAATTTTCATTTAGTTCATTAATCTTTATATGGATTAACGGTCAATATTTACCAAATGAATTCAATATTTTTATGCACAATGATTTACATCTACAATTGTGATCCAATTTTTGTTTCACTCCATAAGTCTTGGATTTTCATGTAAACTTTTCAAAATTTATCTGAGGAAGAATAAACATAAATAAACATATGAGAAGACTAAGATATAAACGAAGAATATTCTTTACGATACATAAATACGACATATAAAATTGGTAATAAAATCTACATTGAAATGATCATTGACTAATAGATAAAATAAATACAGCTATTTTAACGGAACTCGATGGTTTCCGATGTTCAAAAATGTCACAATTGATAATAAGCTCATCTTTCATCTTCCTTAGGTGATGAATTTATTATAAATTTGTGACATCTTTAAACATCTCAAATCATCGGGTTCCATTAGATCAAGACTATATGGACTACCAAAAGTTCATAAGTATTTATTTTATTATGAACGTATTTATTAATAGCCTTAAACCTTAGTATTCTATTTGATTAGTAAACTAAAATTTAAGATTACCTGTTTAGTATATGAATATAATGGCGATAAATATGACAAATTTATAAGTACTAAATTCAATTAGTGGATTGTAGTTCATTAGTGAAGTCGATTGATTTTTATTTCCGCTTTATTATTACCATTTTTAATATGAGATGGTTTTATGAAAAAGTTTTGCTTACTTAAAAGGTTGTTTTTATTCAAAAAAAAACGCAACGTCAAGTAAAATATAATTGGTTAGTTATTTTTTTACTGGTTTATGATGTGAATAAACTAATATATTTGTGGTATCCCAATGAGTAGAAAATTTAGGTTTTACAACGTTTCGTGATTCAGTGTAAGCCATCAGGATATTACAAGTATATTATTCATTTATAACAATCTACTCAATGCTAAATTTATTCAAAATTTTGTATAAGTGAAATCATGAGTCAATGGAATCTAGACTACCATGGAAAACGTGGAAGCGCTGGACGACCGTTTCGTCCTACTGTGAGACTCTTCAGTAGCGCTCATCCACAATCCCGCCTCTCTGGATTCGAACCCAGAACCTATCAGTCTCAACTATATAAAATGACTAAAATCTCCACAAACACCCCTTCTGAATATTTGAAATTATCAAGTCAAACTTTGGAAATGATACCTGGTTTAAGATATCTTAGTTTTTGTACAATAAGAGTACAAACTATGATTAAACTAATGTTTAGTGCTAATAACTAGTTTATCAACAATGCTCTAAATGATGCCAGCTTTATTATTATAATAATCGTATTCAAGAGATTATTATTTCTATTACATAACTATTACAAATATCCTTTTTGTTTTGTTTGCTTTGAACAGATTGATTCTCAAGCACAATACAATGAATCATTATAACGACTTAAGAATTCTATTATTTTCATTAAAAATATTATTATTATTATTAATTCCAAATTGTATTTCATTAATACAAAATATTAATTCACCAATTGATCATGAATATTATATTGAAGAAGAAATTCCTATTGGTACAATTATTGGAAATATAATGGATGATTTAATTATGAAATTTATCGATTTCGGATTAACAAAATTTTCGCATAAATTAAATTCACCAATTAATGATAATGATCATTTATATAGTTTAATGATAATGAATTTTGCTGATCCATATGTTAATTTATTTGATGTAAGTTATATCTAATCTTGAACAATTATCAACCTTTACTCATTGGATGAAATGAGTATTTTAAATTGTAATTAAGTAGTATATTCATTTGCTTGAATCTTTCTATTGATGTTTAAGACTGTAATTAAGTAATTAATTATTGTATATTAACTGAATAACTGTAAACAGTTTGATATAATAGGTGCTTTTGTTATATCTTAATTAAGATATCTCTATATTTAATCATATTTTTGTTACATTTTATAAACTAAACTGAAACTGATGAACAGTTGCTCAAACTTCGTGGATTGATTGAAGTTAGACAATAACAGCGTGGTCTATCGGCTAAGTGCTCGCACGCGAGACTGATAGGTCCTGGGTTCGAATCTCGTGAGGCGAGATCGAAGATGCTCACTGCTGAGGAGTCTCACAATAGGACGAAACGGTTGTCCAGTGCTTCCAGGTTTTCCATGGTGGTCTTGCTTCAATTGACTTATAATTACAACTATGAAAAATACTGAAATCTCCACAAAACCCCTTCTGGTCTATAAAATCATATAAACAAATCAGTAGTAAATATGTAAAATAATTAGTAAATATTAAATCATATATCTGTAAATATTTTGAAGAAAAAGAAGTCCATTAAAACAAATCACAGTGTAATGACCAATGAATTCATATATATGTGTGTCAGAGAGATTTATCTAAAAAATAAACCTTAATTATTAGATGCATTATCTGTTTCATTCTTCATACTATTAACTCATCTATCATAAGTTGTTTACGCTCAGTTAATATTCAAACGGAATAAATTTTGCAGGACACTAATTTACTTGGATAATGTCAATTATTACGATGATTACTTAAAGATCAATAAAATCTTTAGAACTGTTAGTTTGTATTTATGAAATAATATATAAGAAGAGGCAATTTAATTTATAAGCAAAGATGGATAGTGGCTAGCAGTGGAATCCAGGAAGCTCGCCACTTCGTCCTATTTGGGACTCGTCAGCTGGATGTACCTGCATCTCAGAGTTCATGTTCAATCCGGGACTCCAACCCAGTATCTTTCGCTTCAAACGCCATCGCGTTATCCACTCACCTACTGAGTGCAATGGGGTGAAGTTTAAATTCATTTAGTATGGTTTGTTTGAATCTTCCTAATGATGTTTAGGACTGCAACTGGTCAGGAAATGCATTACTTACTTACTTTCGCCTGTTACTCCCAATGGAGCATAGGCCGCCGACCAGCTTTCTCCAACCCACTCTGTCCTGGGCCTTCTTTTCTAGTTCTTTCCAGTTCTTGTTCATTCTTCTCATGTCTGTCTCTATTTCTCGGCGTAATGTGTTCTTTGGTCTTCCTCTTCTCCTTCGACCTTCAGGATTCCATGTGAGGGCTTGTCTTGTGACACAATTGGGTGATTTCCTCAAAGTGTGCCCAATCCACTTCCAGCGCTTCTTCCTGATTTCTTCCTCCGCTGGAATCTGGTTTGTTGTTTCCCACAGTAACTTGTTGCTGATAGTGTCTGGCCATCGGATCCGAAGTATCTTGCGTAGACAGCTGTTAATAAACACTTGTATCTTCTGGATAATGCCTTTCGTAGTTCTCCACGTCTCTGCCCCATACAGAAGAACTGTCTTGACATTTGTATTGAAAATTCTAACCTTGGTGTTGGTTGACAATTGTTTTGAGCTCCAGATGTTTTTCAGCTGTAGGTATGCTGCTCTTGCTTTGCCGATCCGCGCCCTCACATCTGCATCTGATCCACCGTGTTCATCAATGATGCTGCCCAGATATGTAAAGATTTCCACATCCTCCAAAGCTTCTCCGTCAAGTGTAATTGGATTGGTGCATATTGTATTGTATCGGAGAGTCTTGCTTTTCCCTTTGTTTATATTGAGACCTACTGCTGCTGAGGCTGCTGCTACACTGGTCGTTTTCTCCTGCATTTGTTGTTGCGTTTGTGATAGAAGAGCCAGATCATCCGCGAAGTCTAGATCGTCAAGTTGCATCCTGTCTGTCCACTGTATCCCGTGCATTCCTCCAGATGTTGACGTCTTCATAATCCAGTCGATCACCAGGAGAAAGAGAAAGGGTGAGAGTAGGCAACCTTGCCTAACACCGGTCTTTACCTAGAACGAGTCGGTGAGTTGTCCTCCGTGGACGATTTTGCAGTTTAGTCCATTATAGGAGTTCCGTATGATGTTGACTATCTTCACAGGCACGCCGTAGTGTCGAAGAAGCTTCCATAGTGTCGTCCTGTCCACGCTATCTAATGCCTTCTCGTAGTCGATGAAGTTGATGTACAGTGATGAATTCCATTCGATTGATTGTTCCACAATGATACGTAGAGTTGCGATTTGATCTGTGCACGATCTATCCTTACGAAATCCAGCTTGTTGATCTCGAAGTTGAGCGTCCACGGAATCCTTCATCCTGTTTAACAATACTCTGTTGAAGACTTTTCCTGGTATTGAGAGGAGAGTGATGCCCCTGTAGTTGTCGCACTTGCTGAGATTGCCTTTCTTTGGTATCTTGATGAGAAGTCCTTCTTTCCAGTCTGTTGGTACATGTTCTTCGTCCCAAATCTTACCGAAGAGGATGTGGAGTATCTTGGCAGTTGCTGTTACATTTGCTTTCAGTGCCTCTGCCGGGATGTTGTCCAGGAAATGCATAATATATAAAAATAAACAATTCTTCTTTTTTATTAACATCTAATTAAAATTGTAAGATTCTGATTCATTTACGAACAGTTTTTATTTTAAAATTTTACTTATTCTACAGTAAATTGTGCTAAACCATCTAGATTCAAATTAGTTGGTATAACCTTTTTCAATTGAAGAACATACGTGATATAATAATTTAATAGTTATATTTATCAAATGAGGTTTGTTTAAATAAACTGAACAATGACACTCTTATTGAACATTTTTTTATTATTTACTGGATTTTCAACATTTTGGTACTTTGGCAGGTTTCATGATTGACCTTTATTTTATCCTATACCAAAAAGATGTTTAAACATTTAGGCTTATGTATTTCAACTCAGTAGTATAACTAAACCAAATCATAATGATATCTAATTTTTTTTGATTTCATATGATGTAGAGTTATGAGTGAAAAAGAAGGTGAGATAGTCGTAAGTTGGGAGAACGTGGTTACTCAATACTTTATGCTTTTCAATGATGTCTCAGTTAATTTTTGTGAAATATTAGTTTAAAACACACTTATATGAACTGAACGAAGAATATTCTTTTCAATAATTTCTCATCAGGTTCTATAATTCTAAATCCAAATTAATAATCCATAAAAAGAAATTGGCCAAGTTTAAGGCAGAGTACATCAATTTAAGAAACTGTAATATGTGAATCAAGGAGTGTTTGTGATATAAAATCAAATCGAATCGTTAATGTTGGAGCTGACTAATATGAAGTGTTAACTTGAATCAGTTTATAAGTGAAATAAAACCGTAAGATAAATGATCAGAATAAATGTAGTTGACAAAGGGGTTAGATAGAACAATGGGATTACAAATCAGAACTTACGTAATATAAAAAAAAATATGAATTAGGTCAGATATAGTAGATAGGGGTGGATACTGAATAAATTTCTCTAAAAGGTTAACAAGTGTGATAATAATAATAATGACTGGTAAGATGTGTAGATAAATTAATTTTAAAATGAACATTAATCAAATTAATGTCACTATATTATAAAACTGATTATTAACAAGTTGACCCTGAAGTTGGCCAGGGTTAAAGGAGCGGCTGAACATATTTCTTTTGGATGCAAAGCTCTGGCTTTTTGATCCGAATAGCAATTGCTTCAGCCGTCTGCAGGATTCTCAGTCTGACGGAATTAGGTAAACTGCTGTTAACACGATATATTATTGTGAGAGATTGCTCGATGTTGGCTCTACGTCCCGTCTGAACTAAATGGGCTAAAATAGAGCTGTTAAGCGTTTTTACTACACCTTTGCTTAACCACACTGGGAGGTGTTCACGAGTTAGTTTTTTTAATATTTTCTAAATAAAATTGAGCATCAGTTAATGTAAAATGTAAATTATTAAATACATGGATAACCTTTAATGTATATGGTAAAAAATTTATTCATTCATCATTTTTTAAACCATAATAAATGAACTTCATTACTAAGTGCTAGATTAGATTAGGATTGTAAGAATGTTTTCTGCTCAATAAGAAGGAATATGTTTTACCGCTAATATCCAAAAATAAACGAAACTTTCAGTGGGTTCTTATACATAACCAAAAATGTCTTTTAGGATATTACATCGAGTACTTCATCATTTTCAAACGAACATATAGATTTTCGATGTCACATTATGTTATATCTAGACATTAGGTTCTTGATATACCGTGTACAAATTGTGCACTCGAACGCTAGAACCCTTTAAGTCTCAGTTGAGAAGACAGAAGACAAATGAGAAGGAATGCTATTCCAACCAGTGTCAAATATGGTACAAACTCTCAGGTATTTATAGTTTTTATTATAAGCGAAATCATCATAATAGTTATCCAAACCACACACAGAGTAGTTTTTAGCATTTGTTCAATAGGGAAGCTACACGTCAAGATTCTGGAATGTTCTTCGCAATGATCACTGGATGGAATATGTTGGGCTCTTTTTGAGCATCTTAGAGCTTCATCGAGTTCACCCGTGCTCCGTCCTTACATCTTAGATTAGAAGCTAGTGTAAAAACTAAGATGAATCATTGTTCATTTCATAGTTTATTTTTTAAGAGATGGGAATAAAACCCGCACTTTTTTTAATGTTTTAATAAACTCTAAAACAAGACATTTAACTTCATAAGGGTTTTGAAAGCTAATGAAAACAATATTGAAAGCTGGACATTTAATTTTAATGTGGGACAATGTGATAAAAGGAGTGAACCTTGTCATCAAATCGATCAAATAATAAATTAGATCATAATACCTTTATGGTTATTAAACAGAATTTGCAATGTTAAGTTAATGAATAAGGTTATGAATTCCTAATATT